TGAGGCGGAAATATCGTCATCTTTCCCTGGCGAAAGGAAAATTTTTGCCATCGCGTACGCCATGTCAAAAAATATGTCTGAACAAGGTTTTGCCTCCAGAATTACTGTCAATAGACCAGTAAATATTTAGCATTGTAGTAATAATTATACTAACGTTTAGCAATAAATTTGTAACTCTATCAAACTGCTGTATTAAAATGTTAATCTCAGGCACAATTTGCAGATGCTTCCTGGCCAATTTATATTACGAATTTGTTTATAAAATTGTAAATTGTTGCAAAATGGTTAATTCGCTGTTTTCGGCTCTAGAACATCGGGAGACTAATCGACCTTTAGATCTACAAAAGTTGGAAATTGTTTATAAATTTGCAAGTGTTGCAATTTTTATTGTCTCCCCTGAATCCTCTTTAAACGCAATACTAAATTCCCCAATTCGATCGTTGCTATCAACTTCCATTCTCGAGATATTTAATTGTTTAAAATTAAGCATCTCATAATCGCCCCATATTTTGCACTCATTCCATTCGCTTCCGCACACAAGTATACTGAAAAGAGAGGTTTGCTACGTCTCGCTTCGATTGATCGCTTCGCATGCTGACTGCCGAGGCCAGAGGTGATATTGCGGCCTAAGTAGCGGCTCGAGGCGATAAACGGTGCGTCGGAGCGAAATGATTGTTTTTACCATTTCTTCAAAAACAAGACGTAACGTTTATTGGTAGTTCCGTGGGATCATTGCCGTAATCATTTCTGTCTTACTGCAACTATGACTCTTTTTTAAATATTCAACCTTTCCTTTTTATTCTAAACAGTCATTAGAACTCCCGTTTCAATATTTTAATTCGTTTAAGTGTTGTTAGTATATAATTTATATGGTACATTTAATAACGCTGAGAGAACCAGTTTTATGGCGAACATGAACAAAAGCTATATTATTTATTTCTAACTTATCTGTATAATAGTACGACTTGCATTACTATATATTTATCGACTAGCAAAGAACATTTAATAGAGATATATTGCAAAGTTCAATGGTATTTTATCTCAAGGGCAAGTCGAGCAATGGAAGGATTTCTGTATTCTGGAACTATTCGATGACTCTGGTTCGCGTGACGTCGACAGGGAAATTAAACAAAGGATCAGTTATAAATGTGAAAAAATTGTGGATGAAACTAATCGCTTCCCCTAACAAAGTATTGCCATTGCCGCCCTAATCATGAATCGTTTCTCGCTCTAGAAAGTCTTTCGGATACGCACGAACATATACAAGATGCCATTAATTCATGTCCCCATCAGAGGTTTGAGATTTTAAAAATATTAGACAGATAAAATTAAAGAAACTACTTGTGAGTGATTAAGTTGAATGGTTAAAAATAATGTACTCACTTATTTTTATTAAAAAGAAAATCATTTAATTAATTTAAGAAATGGCTTCGATTTCGAAATCAAAAACTGAATGAAATTAAAATTGTTAATTTTTAATAAATATTTAAACATTTCTATTTTCTTTTGCATGTCATTCTGTTTAAGGTCGGTGTAATATATCCAAAATATTTAAAGTTTGTTACTTGTTATTTAGGGAAGTTTCCAATGATTATTTTCAGTGAATCATTTTCTTTCCTTTGATTTCCATTATATTGGTTTTTCTTTAAACTTTCTCACTTATACGTTTGTAAGGAGAAAAGATGTATTCGTGCGCCAGAGAACGGCCAATTTTCGGGAAAAGCTCTTATTGTCGGGCCCTGGAAACGAAATAATAGATAAATCCTCTTCCTATATATAGTAAATTAGTTCTTCTAATCAAATATTGTAGCCAGAATCTATATTTTGTAGACCCTTGTTACCTAAAAATCGATTGTCGGCTAAGTTTCCGCCTGCCTGTCCTAATAACAATATATGAACGCTAGCGCGTAAACCTTCGAGCCTTTTTTTCTAAAATAGATATTCCTCTTTTCATCTGAACAAACTCGAGGCTTTGGAAGCTTCAAACGGATATTTTTATTTTTATGGGTACTTTACATGAAGGCTCAACATGTTAAGCTTTGGCAGAAAAAGCACTTGCCCCTGCATACGCCCTCCTCTCGGCAGTTCCTGAATCCAAGGTAGCGCATAATATTAATCAATTCCAATAATACTAATAACAATATATGCGATAATTTAAAATAAAACTCATTACAAATTGTGTCATGCCTTTTTTTAGTATTCCCAATTCCTGATCAATCACGATAACACAGATTCGTATTTTTCTTTGTATCATTATAAGATACATAAATGAATTGTGTGGTAAATTGTACTATTTTAAAGCCTACTAATAATAGTTCTACATCACAAAACGTTTAACATTTTATTATTTTATTCTGTAAAGTATTACGCGTAGATTTTACATTTAGAAAGTATTTTATAGTTGGAAGGTATAATTCGTCTCTTCTGAAAAAAGACCCAAGATTCGAAAACTCCAAATTTTTTATTTTTCATCATCCACATCATCTATAGGCACTTGAAATTATCGAATCTTACTTTTTGATAACCTCTCTATTATTACCTCTTCTCTAGTTTTAATTCAATTCATGACGCCTTATTTTACGCGGTGAGGCTCTTGTAGTGAGGAAGCTTGTTCTTCCGCCTGCCCACGCTCATTTTGCCATCTATCGGAAAAAGAAGTTAGAAGTCGGGCGACGAAAGCGATCTGAATTTAGCAGAGGCCTCATTTAGGTTTGTGGATCTTTTAGATGCAGTAAATCTACAAATGAAGATTAATAATTTACAATTTTCTTAAATTAATAGAAATTATACAACATAACATAATGTAACTTAGTTTTACATTGAATAACACACAACATATTGCCATAACCAATTTAATACTGGCGAAGTGAATTCATAAATGTGCAAGTTTCTTTACAATTACTCCATCTTAGCAAGTTGTTATTATGTATTTCCCCCTGTTATTACCATTCATATTATAAGCTGTACTGATATTATTCGCTGGTTTAAGGCAACGTATCATTTGTTTTGTTGGCTTTGGGCCTGTGCCCGGCCGGCCCAGAGGCCGCCGCCGAGGTCGAGGCGATGCCAAAACAATTTCTGAGCGCAGCGGCTCCATGCGCCTCCCCGCTCGCGGTATCTCACACAGGCTTCGTTGATTGGTTGCTTCTTGTTTGCTGGTGCATCAACTGCTCTGGCGTGAAATTGATGTTTGTGTAATGAATATTCCATCGCATAAAGGCGTGTTCCTTCCTCGCGATAAAGTGAATTCTGGCATCGATCTATTCGTCGGTTGGCTCCTCCAGGAACCTCTCCCATCGGGACACCGCATCCTCTTACGTAAGCTTCCGGCTGATGTTCTTTCGTATACGATTGTGTACTGCTTGTGTGGGTGTGCGTGTGTCAGACAAGGAAGAGGGAAGAAAGATCGCGCGCGGTTTGTGCCTTGTTTGTTGGGGTATGTTCCGACATTCGTCTGTTATTGATGTGAAGAATCCTGGAAAACTACGGATCGGATCAGATCAGAATTCCGGCCGGTAGAATTCTCCTCCAGACCGACAGCGGCTGAATTCGACATGGTTCTCTAGCATTAGTCAACAAATCGCCAGTGTCGTGGCTCGAACCGTTGGACCTCTCGGTCTGGCAACACTTTTTTCCCCTGAACTTTGTCAGCCGATCACGCAATGATATTCCTACCGCTTGTACACTCGCATGTCCACCTTCATTCTTTAACGTTTACGCAAGAATACTAGATTAAAAATTCATCTGCCTCTTGTTCTCTACCTTTACAGATCATTTTCTGAACTTATGTTTTGCATAACTCCTAAAGTATTTTGATTGTTTTACAATTATTATTTGTTTTAATTGTCTGTTCAATATAGCCCCTATACTTTTTGTCGGTCGATTTCTGCGTCGAGATGAAAAAAATAACACAAACAATCGAGGCACAATCAAGCCATGGTAAAGATCGTGACTGATTGTAAACTAGAATATTAAATGGACTTAGAAAATACATTGTGAAAATTAAAAGCTTGGGGTGAAATAATAACAATGTTCTGATAAAAACATTTTTATTATTCCTCGTTCTGACTTGTTTTTCGATTCAAAACCATTATGCAACCATTTATTGAATAGCATCTAAGAATTTTAAACGGTTTCTTTGTTTTGATCTTCTCAATGTCATTTTAACTGTGCAAACTACGATCTGCTCAAGATACAAGAACTAAAGCCGAACAGAATGAAGAACTCTGAAGGAAAATAAGTTAACGGAAAATTGTTACAGTTGAATTGGCGATCATAGCAGAAATTGTTAAATGTTCCCAGTAAAAAATAATACTATATTGAAAATGTTACATATTCATATTGAAATTTTGCGCATAACAGATGATAAACTAATGATTTTTGGAAGGACCGGGTATCTTCCTTTGATTTCTTCAAACATTTTTTTAAAATTATAAACGTGGAATAAATTTGCCAAGTTTCATGAATTTCTCGCTAGTCAGCCATTTGTCACCCCCGCAGAGGGGGACTGGGTAACGAACCCGTTCTGATCCCCGAGCCACTGTTTACACAAACAATTGCAAATGTTAGCGTCTTGCTAGAGATCTAGAGCTCTTAGAAATTAGGAAGATCTACATAGGACACTCCCTGGCGCTATTCCTGTTACTTATGTGTGTGAGGAGGGGAGGCAGGGCGGAAGGGTGGGAATGCTATAGAGTGGTGGGAATGCTATAGAGTCGTGGTGTCCACCTCCAGGGGCTCGAAAACTGTTAAAATGGACGGTTCGAGATAATAGATTCTCCCAATAATCGAAAAAGTCTATTGAAATACGTGCATTCCCCACAACATGCATGTATCAACGCATGCGTACTCTGGCGCTGGGCAGCGCAGGTCGCTCCGGCGAGGGGAGGAAGAGGGAGGGGTGGGGCTTGCGCTTGCGATAAGAACGTTCCCACCGCCTTGACGGGGCGAGCGGCAGCGTTTAAGGCCCCGCGCCCCGAGAACAATACGCTCCCGGGAGGATGCAAACGAGATCCGCCGCCAGCGAACGGGAGAGTGTTTCCGCCGCCGTTGCCTCGGCTTTTGCCTTTGCTGCTGCTGCTGCTGCTGCTGCTGCTCACGTTGTTGTTCCCGTTTTCTTCGCCTTTTTTGTTGACGTGGACATTGTTGTCATTGCCCTTGCCGTTTCAGTTGGAATTGCCGTTGTCATTGCCTCTGTCCTGGACATTTTCCCTGCTGTTTACGCATCTGTTTCCGCCTCTGTTTCTCTTTGGCGTTGACTTTACAGCTTCGAATAACTACGCAACCTTTAATATTGGCGTCTTCAGTTACAAAATTCTTAGAATTATCGATTATGATCATTGACGCGTGTAGCAAAAAATTGTGTGAGTGACTTTTATCACAATGTATCTAGTTTCTCCGTGTGTACATAGTGTATGTTGTGTGCATTATGTAACGCGAGGACTTGAAAAGAAACGAGCATTAACTCTGGAGCCATTCACAATAAAATTCTATATTTATATTTGACATTGGCGTGTCTTTCATTCTCTTTTTCATTTTTACGTATTTTGTGTTCAGTACATTATCAAAGCCTGTAATACGCTTAAGCTTTCTTTTTCGTTACTTTTGTGTGTCCATTTTTTTCTTTATAACCGTTTCATTTCGATAATTATGCCGATTTTTTTTGTTCTCCTCATACTCGTTTTATTCATGATTTCGTGAAATATTCCAGCACTTGTTTCTCTCAAACACCAATTTGCTGTTAAGCATGGCACAGAAATACACTCTCGATTATACTACTGCAACAAATGTCTTTTATATTCCTGCTCGTTCATTGCATTTTTTTTCAAACGTCGTCGTTATTAAAATACATACTTATCTTGTTGTTACATCATTACCTTCGTCGTTTCCATTTATGCAGTCATCGTTCTCTTGGGCGTTACTGCAGAACTAAACCGAGTTTTTACCACCCAAACCACTATCTCATCTGCCTTCGGCTCCGTTCCTGGCCACTCCATTCTCACACCTCGCGCTATAAAATGTCATGTGACTGGGCCGACGAGAGCACAAAATACGTTGCGTAAAACATCAGCATAACGCACCACAGAAACAAGTTTGCAAACAACGGTTATAGGAAAAGGTGCGGCTCCTTCCCACGTGGAAAGTATCGTTTGAGCAATGTTTTGTTTTGTGATTAATTCTCAAGCAATTTTATGAAGCTTCAGCATCTCTACCTGTAAGACTCGGGTTGCAAAATCAGAATGGTTATCTAGTGTCTGTTTGGTTGGGCAATGAAGATATATTGTAGCGTCTAATTATAATTTAATGTTCCCGAATTGCCATCCATTTTACTTTTCAAATCTTAAACAATGCAACTTGTGTGGTGTGATAAATATAGATATATTGTTATTTGCCCATTAACTTCTTAATGTTTTTTACATAACCATATTATTTAGTTATGTTTTTTTTTACTGTTTCAGGTAAGAGTCTGCATAGAGAAACTTCGCTACAAGAATATTTAAGATATTGGTCTTCATATTTGAGTAAGTTACAGTTAACTGTATTCACAATTTATTTCACTATCTCATTATATTTACACAACCTAATTACTTTATTATATACATAAATACATAATGTTCTGTTAAATTAATGTTCATCCGCTAAATATAACAGATAAGGCAGAGAGGGGCCAGTGTGGAAAGTGGGCTACTATGAACAAATCTGGTTATTCCATAGGTAACACGCGTAATCTGTCAGATGTTTTCCTTACATATTGGCCACACTTCTTTAGCCAGCAAAGTTTGGCCAGTATATGTTCAGTAGTCGTTGTGTAATAGGGGAATGTAAGTTTTCTGGGTTAATTCAAAAAAGTTGAAAATTCCATTAAAAAGTAGGTAAATAGTTTTGTTCTTAAAATATTGGTTTTAAATGTAATTCATATGAAAACTTAAGGTTTTAGGTATTTTTCATTTTGGTACGAAGTGGCATTGACACAATATCTTCAAAATGGAGAGTGGGGATTAATATGGACATGGACATTGGGACTGTCCACTCTAACCCCACAGTATTGAACAACAATCTTTATTATATACATAATAGACAGGTTTTGTTCAGAATGTGTCTATATATTATCACACATGTGCAAAGATTTTTCATTAAATTACCAACTCTACTTACAAAATATATTGAAACTTAGTACGTGTAGTTTTGTAACTTATTGTTGATAACTCCTTGAAGAAAGATGTTGTATCAGAGAAACTTTAAATGTAAAAATATTTCCATCTAAAATTTTAAGAGCGTTGTTACATTTATTTAGAAGAAAAACAAATATTCTGAAAAGAAAATGATTTATATTAACTGAATTATAGGCAAATCATTTTTTTAGTTTTTTTTTAATTAGATACTAGTAGAAGTCTTAGTATAGTAGTAAAGTAAGTGAATGTGTGTGAATTAATGATAAAACGTCTGCTAGATTGAAAAACAGAGGAACCACGAAAGCCAAAAAGGAACTAGAAAGTGGAAAGAGTAATTTGCCCTTTGCCCTTCTGTGATTCGAACATATCCGATATGAACTGTTGCATATGTATGTAAAATGCACGAATTTGAAATACGATATAGCATGTATTACAACAACTCTACATGTTACTGAATTCGGATGCTAAAAGACAGGTAAACGAGAATGGTGTGTTAGACCGAGAATTCTAAGAAACAGCGACTATAATGATACTGAGAACGAGCCTGGAAGCAGAATGCTCATTGCAACACTAAGGCCAAAAAAGCCCACGATCAAGAGGGCAGGCTGAGACCGCAGAACGCAACCATGAGAACGGCTCAAACACCAATAAAACGACACCGGGGTCCGAGACTGGAGGCAAACGCGCGGGCGAGTAAGCGAAGGGGAACGCAGAAGCGTCCAGGAGAGGGAGGCGTGGCTCGTCGCGTGCCGGGTTTCGCATCGCCGCTCAAGCGGTTCCAATCGCCCCTCCTCTCTCTCGCGCCCCCGCGGCCGGAAGCCGAGCCCACGCAGCCCGGGAGCCGCTGCGGAGTGTTTACGGCCGACTCGCATAACGAGCGCGCGAGAGCCGCACACTACTGGCTCCTTCCGCCGAGTTTCTTTTGGCGAAATGTTTATTGTCCCTCCAGAATGATTCCCTCTTTCACCCACTGTTAAGGGATATATCCGGGGGGACGTTTCTGTCCTTGTCACCGCTATGATGTTGTAACTTAGGAGATGCTGATTATTATTCCTATTCTTATTATCAAGTAGGAAGCAATATAGCTAGAAAAGTAGCATGGTCGACATAGCAATGGTAACAATACACAACGTTCGCAGAGGCGAACGCAGAGGCATTTGGGAGCCATTATGTTTGATCGGTCGTGGATTCCTTATTCCTACATTATTGAATAATAATGTTTACGATTGTCCATTTAACTTCTATAATCCCGTTTACTATCCCAAAATGCCTCTCTACAGCTTAAAATTGTCGTATTACTCATGAAGACAGCGCTATACCTCGTTTGTGCCATTTTAGACTGGTTATTAACCTTAGACGTCCGATTGAGAAATGTGTCCGACTCAAAGCAATGTAGTGTCACCACACCATGTGGTCTACAATTAACAGAAACGATTAAAAATCTGCAAATTATATATTCAAATGTAATTGCTTAGTATCAAGAAAAATTGAATCACAAAATATTTAAAGCAAATATTTGTTTACATTTTAACAAAATTTATTTTTAGTAAAAAGGGATAACATTAACAGTTAGACTATGAACAATGAACAAAAATAATGAGTGTCAATATTCTCTTCAGAATATGCATTCTCTTTGAAGGAAAGAAAATAATACATTTTCTCAGTCCATTTTCACGTTTCCACGTACTTCTACTCTTCCTACCGCATAATTGAATATAATATTCAACAATCTAAAACATTTTAATCTGCTCTTCTATGTTCTTATCAATCCATAAAGTTTTGCAATCCAAAAATATTAATAAACTCTCTGGAAATCTTATTGAAAAGTATTTATGTGCACATCATTGTCGTATTAGCATGTTGAAAAATGCGTATTATGATGCAGTTTGAGTCACACGTGCGTAATATGCACAATTGAAATTGAAAAAGATTACATTAAAAATTATTTCTGGTCAACGCTCAAAGGCATTGAAAATGCAGTGACAAGTTAAAAGGCATCGAAAGAGTACTATGTTACAGTACTATGTTATGTACTATGTTACATCGTATTATGATACAGTTTGAGTCACACGTGCGTAATATGCACAATTGAAATTGAAGAAAGAATACATTAAAAATTATTTCTGGTCAACGCTCAAAGACATTGAAAATGCAGTGACAAGTTACAAGGCATCGAAAGAGTACATCACCTTAGCCTCGCAGAACGTAATAGCACTCTCACTCCAGCTTCTTGTTATCCACGGCTTTCATCACTTCCTAGCATATAATGTTAACCTCATGCTCAACCGTCATCTCTTCAATAGGCAATCCTGATTAGTTGCCAGAGGTTTCACTAACAATCTGAAACATTTTCCAACGAACTCACTGCAGACCTTTGGGGGAAACATACTAGTCTTCCCAGCTCTTCTACATCGCCGCGTGGCGTGTTAGCATTCCGTCATGTGCGCGTGAGGATAGAGCTTTGGCTAGCGTCAGTAATAACGCACGGCTGAATAACCATACAATGAACACTTCTTCCGCCTTTCAAAGAAAGTGCAACCCTCCCCCCCCCTGGCCCCTCCCATGCGACGAAGAACTCAATGAACTAGACACGACACAATGCGAGGCGTGGTCATCAACTAATGAGAATCGTGGGGCTTTGTCAATACAACACGGCTCGTTAGGGCAACACACCTCCTCCAGGCAGCGGATGCCGGCACAGTACAATAAGCCTCTTTACTTTACAGACACCTCGGGATGGCTCTCAGCGGGCTGTATCTCAGACAATTAAACCTCTCAACGGTGTTGACGCGATTTTCCCTAAGTTCGCAACTGGCGCTCGTGGCAGTACTCCTTCGTGTTCTGATTACAAGACCTCAGAATTTTGGCACAAGAAAGGTATGATTTAGGCACCTAAAATAGGTAACAAAATTACGAAATTATGAAATATTTATCATGAAAAGTGACGTTTTAGGCACTTAAAAAGGTTACAAAATTATTAAACCAGGAGTTTAAAACCATTACCCACGAAAAGATATGTTTATGGCATCTAAAACTCATCACAAGTGAATCAGATTTGCTCCCCCCTTTTTCTGCTCCTGGAGGTCAAGTATTTTTACATTCATGAGAATGACTATAAGAATAATATTTTATTCACTTTCATTTCTTTTCACTTTATTCTTCCCCCCTTTTCATTCTCAACGTATCAACAGCGTAGCCACACCGGGAATGGGTGCAAGTGCCTAAGAAGTGCGTGCTGATCGGAGATGAGCGTGAAACATCATTTATATATTGACTTGCACAGATTCTAATGTTCGGTGTGTGGGAGAGAGATTTTGGTGCACATATGATTGCTCATTCGGTCAGGGAATATTCACGTTTTTGGAAAATTGAGAGAGCATTTTCCTTTCCGTAAAACAAATTTTAAAAAATGTGTAATTAAAACATGACAATTTATCAAAATTACTTCGTTTGGCATTTTTAGACACAAAAATATTAAAATAGGCATCAACCGACGTTTTAGAACATTTTAAGCACTATTAGCTGTTTCTAGTAGATCTATTTTTTCATTATTCGTAAACATCTGCAATTATTTTCCACAATCCCCAAAAGAAACTTAAATAGACATATGTTCTAAAATCCAAGGCTACTTATTACGGGCGAGAACAGCATATACTCTTTTTATTTTAAATTGTAATCGAAAAATAACTATAAGATCTCGCAGAAAGTAATCTTCTTATTGACCAGATTTGTAGTAAATTATATATAAATTATCTCTAGAGCCCCAGAAGCGACACTGCTCATGTATATGTACGCCAACAATTTTAAATCGAGCATCGAAAGGACGGAAGAAAATCGCGTCTCATGGAATATTTGTGTTATTTTATATATTTTGACCGCGTGATTCTATTTTTAATTAATGACATATTATTTGTCCAGTTTTGTAGCAAATAGTATGGGTGTTTATTATGGGTGGATGTACACTATTGATAATTGAAGGAAACTCGGGCATTAGTATTTATAACGTTCGATAACATTTATCTGTACCAATAAGTTTTCGGAAGATTCAATTGCAGTTTTTAATCTAAAAAGTAACATATTTTTATTGCCATGACTTTCAAATATTAAAGAGGATTGATCTTGTTGTCAGAATTCCGTTCATAATTTTCATTGTGTTTTGCTTTATCTGTATTACTTATTACATCCATAAAAACTACCCAGAACTGATTTTCCATTTGCAGGACTCGTGGAAACTGCACCAACAGAACTGGCCGGTCCAGTGTGTAAAATCAGAGTTCGTTGTCCGATCGTTCGTTCAAGTTTCTTTGCAACCATCCGATCAGGCCCCGCGGCGCCCGGCCCAACCAGTTAATTGTAACGACCGGACTTCCAGGCGGCATCCCCGGAGGGGAACCCACGCTTCACAACACACACACACACACACACACAAAACAAAAACAGAGCGGTCCGCGCCGCCTGCGCACCCAGTGAAAGTGGAGCCGTCAATTCAGAGCTCCTCGCGGCGCCGGATAGATTTCTAAAAGAGCGCCTGCGCATGCCGTGCGGTGGCTGTCGCCCGAGCGCGCGAAAACTGTGAGAGCAGACGCCATAATGAGTTTTTAATTAGCGCTTGCTGTCACAATACTGTCGCCTCGAGCGAAATCTGCCTTCTCGACCATTTTCTGCGACAGTCCAAACTACAGGCACTCGTTTCGTTTCTCAAGAACGTATGCTTGTGTATTCAAGCTTTAGTGTACAATAGCAGTCCACGGCTACCGCAAGGCAATAAGTAACATCAAAGTAACTAGAGAACGGAAAGTAAACTAGCTATCGTCAGCTTAAACGATGTTTGTTATCTAATTTTTAATCTAATTTAATTTTTATTAACTCTTAAGAAATTAAAACGAAAAGTAATATTTAAGAAAATTGGCAACTACGTAAAATACCCTCATTATTGAAGTCCGTGAACGATATCCACCATTTAAATGTGGACAGCAACACCAAATGCAATATTAATCATTTAATCTTTATAGTAAGGAAATCATAAGTTCAGTTTCTATAATTAACCAACTCTCAAAGTGCAAGCGATCACCCCGTTTATAAAGATCCTGTGCCTGCATATTCTAGTGCGCCATATTATTGAGAATCTAAACCAATAAGGTTTGCCCTTTTCGTACTAAAATGAATACTGCCCTAAGAAAAGAAATTCGAGGAAAATCACAAGGGATTGATAGTAATTAAGTTAGCTTCTCGTGACTCTACGTTTACATATTCCTAAATCACCATTAATGCAAGAGATATTAAAGTCTAGCTTATTTCTTTCATGATCTTGATTTTACATTGCTATTGGTGAGGGGAAATATTGCACCTAACCGTGGAAAATGGGTCTGAAATTTTATATTTAAATGAATGAAAACCGGAACGGTGTAAGCGACATTTTATAAATTCTGAGAAAACTGTATTGATTATAGGCTATATTTCAGTGACAATGTATTATCGTGGTATCAAAGAACAATTAAAATTACCGTGGTTTTAATGATTAAACAAACCATCACGACTTTATAGTAATATTTTCTTAAATAAACAGATTTATCAGAACTTATAAAATGTCGCTTATAACTTTCTGGTTTTCACCCATTCGTCTGGTAATTGCTTACTGAAGAAAACTGAAAGTAGTTACTACACATTCGGGTATTCAAATCGAACCACAAAACCAGATTTGACCCAAAAATACTATTGATGTGGAAATACGTTTTTTATAAAGTAATTTTAGTAATATTAATAAATGTAATGTAAATCAACAATTTCTCTCAAGTATAGATTCTCGTGCGAAATCTTATTCATTAATATCTAAGACAGAGATGAAACTCATATTACATGATTACTACGGGGCAAGATATGAATTCGTATTATTTCAATAATTTTATTTAAAAACATCTGAATTGTCTATTAAACTATACAAATCCATTAAATCAGTATCAGAATTTGTTTCATTGTGATGGTATTTGACGATTATAATTCCTGTAATTGACTTATATCCCATCTAGTACATCAAGTAGTTTTAAAACATACTCGTATTTAGAAAAACTCAATTATATTTAATTTTAAATTGAGTGTGTTTATGTATAACAAACACGTGCGTGCGTTTGTGACTGCAACATGCATACTCGTGAGTGGTGAGTATATACGTGACGACTGTTATAAATTGCAGGTATTTTAGTGTGTATGTGTGAGCGTGCATTCGTTCGGTCGTGGTCACGCCAAACGAGACAAGTGATTTATATTGCGATAAATTATGAGCTAATAGGACGAATGGACACGGGAGATGAATAGGGTGCAAGGACCCTACGCACCACGCGTTTCTGGTTGAGCGGACGAAATTGGAACTTGAATGCTTCAACTCAGTCAAATGCTCTGTGATCTCGAATGGAGAACGTGTTTGTTTAAGAGCGCCATAAATATTTTGCTGGTATGAATTGCACTATAATTACAAATGAATATTAGTAGACACTTATATTTTATTGAAATTTAATCTTAGATTGTTCAGAAATGCAAAGTAGTGAGATAATTTTTACCCAAATACTTAATGTAGTTATTACTTAAGTAAAATTATATTTTTTTAAATTAGCAAAGTTTGTAAACTTAGAATTTCACATTTTTTAAATCAAAACAATAAGTTTAAGAATTTGTATGTTTATTGGATTTCTTTCTGGTCTTGTTGTAGTTATTAAAATATGTATCAGTTTGCCCGTTTTCATAAGTATACATTTAAAATTGTAGTGTGACTTGGGAACAATACCGTGAAGGCTTCATCCATCTGAATAATGATTTTTGGCGGATATGTGAGATATCTTCAACCAATAGCAAGAAAAGAGAAACAATTCTCTCATATATGAATTCAGACATGCAAATATCTATCAAAAATACATTTTTGCATCTTGCGTTCGCCTACTGATATGTCCGATATATTGGATTATTTTCTTTATAGAAGCGAGAGGAAGAAGGCATTAATATATATTAACTTTTTGAGACATGCATTGATATCTTAGAATGGTATCCTATGTTTCCAAATGGGAAAGTTGTAATTCCTTTAGCCATTCATTTTCCACGTAACTTCCCATCGACGGTGTCGGTGACAAGTCGTATTTATGACTGTCGATATGTCTAAGCGTTATAAACACTAATCTGTTATAGTATAATTGAGTAATATTACTGGAACAGAAACATTGCGGAATTTATCTGGAGTTAGATCAGAGCACGTTCATATGCCCACTATATGTAAGGCATGCGTTTATTTGACATATTGTTGAATAACATGAATGACATGTTGTTCAATAACAATTGTTGAATGCTCCAGAAAATTGTAGGCCATACGTGACATTACTTTTATATTTTTGTGTGAATTACTTGATAAACTATATTATTTTCATCGTGACCGAATTATTAATGGTTTAGACATGACAATGTTATCTATAATGTTTCAATCATTACGTCTTTATAGTAAGAAAACATAATCTAGCCAATTATGTGCCTTTGTAGTGATACATGAACAAATGGGATAAAACACGAGAAAACATTTTTGGTGCCGAAATATTAATTTTAATTAACCAACAATTTATTCGAAATGAGATACAGACACCATACATGAGCTACGTGTTTTACAATATATTAAATTTCACACACACACACACACACACACACACACACACACACACTAAGAAGGACCGCATAATAGAAAGTTACGAAAATGTCATCATACGATATATACAAAACAAAATCTTTATAACATAAGTACCATTTGCAACTAATGCTGTTCATTATACACATCAAAAACTTAATTGATACTGTCTATATTTTAATCAGTCTAATAATAATCCTTCTTATGTGGTTAACTCTCGAGTTGTTGGATAAACTTTCTCACAACGGCATTAATAGATAACAGCATAATGAGATCTGTATGTGTGTGAAATAGTATCTTATTTCCTGTACGTCTTTTTATTATGTCAGTATATTGAAATAGAAATGCATTCTCTCTCTCCCTCTCTCCCTCTCTCCCTCTCTCTCTCTCTCGCTCTCTCTCTCTCTCTCTCTCTCTCTCTCTCTTCCTTCTTTTTATTTTACCTAATTCCCGTATATACGTACGTATATAAGAAGTAATATACGCAGTATAGGGGAAGTAATGTAATGCTGCGGAAAATCGATCTTTAAATATCAACGGAAATACACCTTTGGCGGTCCCCTGACATAGAAAAAGTGTTTTTTTTTCTTTCAAAACGTCCGTCCGACCGTCTTTCTGGTGTATGTGAACAACACTAGCGCCTAAACCATGCGTAGGATTTTTTCCAAATTGAAGAAACCCTTGTTCATTTCGCATGAGAAGATGCTCTGTGATTTTGAAAATCATTCATTAGTTTTTGGGGCTACATTACATGAAGCCCCTGGGACATTTTCAAAATTTTCTCAGAAACGGCTTCATTCTTTTCTTTAAATGTCTTTTAGGTATAGACTAAAATACACTAAGGAAGATAGCATTGATCCGATTTTCTGGGTTGAATTGAATTGAATTTGCCTTATTTTACGTGGCGAGACTCGGGCCATCAGGCCCGCTCTTCCGCCTGACCACGCAAATTTCGCTACGCTCCTTTCACCAACTAGGAGAGAAAGGAGGTATTTCTTGGGCGAGAAACAGGCGATTTGAATTTAGCTCAGAGGCGTCATTTAGGCTTGAGGATCTTTTACATGCAAGTAAATCTACGAACATGGGACAGCCGGCTTTACTTCCCCTCCGAAGGAAGGCGTACGAAGGATTTTGTCGCCCTTAAAAATCCACGGCTTCGATCGGGTTTGAACCCGCCAACTTGGGTACAACAGTCCAGTACGCTAACTGTTACACCATCGCCGCCGCCGCGGGTTAACTCTGAATTTTCGAAAATTTCAAGATTTCAAATTTTCGGGCGTCTTCCAAAAGTACAAAATTAAAGATAGAGATTTTTCTTTCAAATACAATTTGTTATTCGTAATTTTTTCTTTTCATTAAGGTAATGTACATCTTGCACGCTCAAACACCATTTTCTCAAAAACGGCTTCAATTTTTTTTCAAACATTTCGAGGGTGTAAGGCTAATTTCACTCCTTAGTATGACACAAAATTAATTTTGAAGTATTCGTTTTTTCAAAAATTATGCAAATGTATATTTTGGAAGATCTCTCATGCCGTTAATATGTACATTTTGTAAATACTATTGTATTTTTGAGTTAATGTGCATTAAATTAATTTTCTATACAAAAGAACTTAAAATTTCTAATTTACAGTAGCGTTTAAAAGCCATTTTCATAAAAACAGCTCCAAATTTTTCAAAGAAAATTTTCATTTACGACAATATTTTACTGTTCTTTAATATTCTTAAAATAATGTTTCCGTTCTACTCTTAGGAAAACAAAAAATTGAGAACATTAAAAAAAATGTACATTGGGCAGCGATAGTTGACAGTTGGCTACAGTATGTGGCAAGTTCGAATAGCTTGCCGAGACAAAAAGAAATAGATAACTAAAGCGGGAAAGTCTGTGCCATTTGTAGCATCACTAGTTTTAGCTAGCC